CCACAACAATAGAACTTTTGCAGGACTGTTCAAGCCCCGCAGAGCTTTTTTGAACAGCCTAAATTCAGCAGGGCATGTGCAAACTTTCGCCAATACCGTGCACAACGCGGACACATGCAGGACGGTATATGTACACAATATGTACAAATTTATAACCACTGTAAAGATAAGCGATAATTTTCCTGGGGTATCAGTGCAAGGTGATAATCATTAGTTACCAATTATAATAATCAACAAGTCAGTTAGAGTTATGTCCCCTCATCCACAGTTGACATTTCTGTCACGCAGCTTGCCTTTCTAGTAAAGAAGACTTTCAGAAACAATATACAGTTGGTTTTTCATGTGGAGATGGGGCCTTGGATGAGTAGATGAACGGTTTCCGGTATATTAAGAACTAGGAAATCAGATGCACGTATTCTTGCGCGATTCTGGCACGATGTGGTCTGGCATTGTCAACCATGAGAAGAGAGAGACTAGCAATCCGAATGGTTATCAAAATGAGGAACAGCAATGTCTTAGGAACGTGTCGCAGTACTTCTGAACAATCAAGTTGTGAGTGAGAAAATACATGACCAACTTCAAGTCCTAAGAAAAACAGGCCCATAAAATAACTGACTCCACAATGTCTACAACATTTCTCAGGTTATATTCAATGTTCTCACAAAGCTAAGATTCCAGTTTCGTCCGTTCCGAGCCCATTGGATTCTCGCTCATTTAAATCTTAACGTTTGTGTAGGACGTTGAACAGGACGCTTGGCTTTTATTTCAGCGTTACATAGCCGTTGTACTAATGTTCTGAAGGCCACTTTTCTTACTCTCCATTGACTTCAAAACTGGCGTACCGTTGCTAAGAGATTTCTTCTTGTATTGCATGCAAGGGTCTTGCCATCTCGACCCTCGCGTTTACGTAGAATGATATATCCAGTTGTCCGGTATTTGTACAATAAGCATACAATAATGGAGTTGTGTACTCAAAAATTATCTCCAATGTTCACTTCGAAAACGGTTACACATGCTAATAATCTTTAATTGCTGTGTTTCAGATAACATTTTTCTTCATAACATTGAAGACTCGTGAAAACTGACAGCATACTGTGGTATGTGTTAAGTGAAAATACACAAACATGAAATACAGAAGGGCATTTGTTCAGTACTAAACTTAAATCAAGCAATTCGTTATTAAATGCCAACAAGGATATAATGAATTCCTATGTAAGGGCAACTGCAGGTAAGTAAATGTTTCACTTATCTATTTAGGTGATAATTAACTTTGGTCTGGGTGTATGTAATATATATATAATCGATACACAAATTAACATTTATTTTAAAGTCATTTGGAACATATTTTCAGAAAATGAGACAAACGCCCAGAAGAAATATACAAACTGAATCATGAAAGTAATTGATTCTTGATTGCTAAGTATCCTTTCTGGGTTCGGTGGTTAAGTTTTCTAACGGACCATATGTGTACCAATGGGAAAACATAAATTTGTTTTAATGTGATATTTATCAAAGACTTTATTCTGACATATTTTAAAAGACATGTTCAAGCCTTTTAAACGGCATAAATAGAACTCTGATACCACAAAACAATCATGTAAATTTAACAATTATTTTGTTCAAACGAAACTCTGCATAAAGTTTTTCAAAATGTTTAGTTGATTTAGTCCTATACACTGGATGATGTATCTTAATACACACTGTCCTCAGTGTAGATGGAATTAAGCACAATTTAATTAATAACCTTATCACACATGTTAGATAGCGCGAACCCAAACCCTGAACCAGCCTGTCTGATACAGTTGTCATGTTATTTTTATGACAAACATATGATGATATATACACACGATTCTAGGAGTAAGTTGGTGGATCATTTTTTATGAATGCATTTTTTCTTTTACTTTTTTCCTCTATAAACCTGTATCATTTAATAAACAATTGGTTATTTTTAGATGAATGCTATCACCTCTATTTTCCCTATTCTGTAATGAAACCTTGTTTAAGAGTTGTTTCTTTTTATTGTAATTTTCAAACAGCTGGAATGAAATACTGGAATGACAAGGGGAGGTGAAATATCCACTAAGATCAATATTTGTTTAGTTGTTTTCAGTTCTCATGTACAACAACTGATATTCCAAATATACATTTATAAATGTAGTAATATCAAGCTAAAGTAAAGTTATAATTTTGGAATTCATCTTTGCATGAATACGACTGTCGATGATTAGACTTCGAGCAACTCATAGCGTCCTATCAAACAATATTCCAACTCGTATTTTGATACAGATATATAGTGAAATAGAGGACAACCTTTGCTATCTAGGTCTAATGTCCAGCTATAATGGCACTTTTCCCTTAGCATTAGATAACATTGCGGTCACAGGCAGAAAGGCTTGTTTTTTTTAATTGAATAGAAAATAAGAACTTTTATGTTAAACTGTGAAACAAAGTTGTCATTATTCGACACTTTTATTACCTGTTAGTTTAACTATGCTTGTGAAACCTGGGGTCCAGTCCTGGAACACAAACTGAAAATGTACATTAGCATTTTTTTGAAGGAAGTTCTTTGAGTTTCAAGTCTGTAAATAATTCTATGGTTTACATCGAATTAGGACGATCTCCTTCACAAAACGCAAAATATAAATTATTAAACCTAATTGTAACACTAATTTTGTTTACCAAGTGAAACAGGAATTATGTAGAATAGGCTTTCTCGATGTTTGATTAAATCCGTTCATATTTAGTAAAGACAGTTTGTGTTCTTATACACCAAACTGTGAAAGATTGTTTTATTCAAGACGTGAGAAACATTCTAGAAAATTCTTCTAAATGTCGTTTGTATAGATATATTGTTGATCACTACGATATGCAGTTTTACCTCAACAAATCTCTCACTTAAGTATAAAGATATCCTCAGTAAGTATCGGTTAACGTCACATACATTAAGTATAGGGTAGATATAACGATATCTCCCGGAGCCCAAAGGTATTGTCCTCTTTGTAATAGTAATGACATTGAGGATGAAACCCATTTCGTATTATTATGTCCAGTTTACTCAGAGGTCAGAATAAAATATATCAAACCCTATTTCTTCCGTCGTCCGCTATCTTCGAATTTAAACAACTATTGTCCTGCAAAAAAGTGAAGAGTTTGAGAAATCTTTGTGAATATTTGATTTAAGTCACTTCTAAAAGAAAGTCTCTTTTTAACATTTAATCAAATGGTGTATTTTCTAACTTAATGCTAAATCACTGTCTATTTTCATTGGTATATGTATGTTGATGATGTTGTAATGTCCTCGGCCATCTTGCTATAATGAAATGTAATATGATATATGATCATTTTGTTATCCTATATGCTGTTCGCAATTGGAATAAAGGAATTTAAAAATATACCAATTTTCTGCCATGGTCATCATAGTAATCAACAGCAGAGTGTGTGATAATGCTTGAGGAGTGTATCTCGTGGACAGTCGAGTACGTGTCTGTGATGTACACATGATGGTCATAGTGAACCACACTTAACATGTCACATATATATTTACTTATGATATAATTAGCCGCTAGCGTGAAGTCAGACGTACTCACGATCACTTATGAATTAAATTAACGGATATTGTTGTAATGTGTCGCCTGGTGGTATGTAGAGATTGTACAATCAATGTGTATATTGCCAATTGCTGTATGTATCTTATTTGATGGGGTTATGGATGAAAGTTTGTTGGCGCGGTATAGTAACCTGAATCTGTGGTGAGATAATCATATGATATGGACCACCATTGTTGTTTAATTATGTCGATAGGTAAAGCTAAGTTTCATGTGATGGTTAAATGCACCGAAGATGGGGATAAATTCACATAAGATATAATTATAAATGTAGAGATAATGACACATCAATACTGATCAAACAATGCTGACTGTATATACAATCAGACCGCTATGACATGTCATGGGTATCTTTATAGATGGAGCGGTCATAGAGCATGCGCATGCACGAGCACATATGGATGATACGGAAACAAATTGCAGGGATGAAAAAAAATCAGTCCTGTTATAGTTTAACAAAAAATAAACAACTAAATAATCTAATGAAGTGGAAGAATTTATTTTTTCAATAGCTTTCACCGGCTTTACATGGACAATTTTCTGATTCCTAAATCACATTACCTATATGGTTGACAACTTGTTTGATTGACAAGAGTTAAGTGAAAGTTAATCAGCACGGGTGAAAGTAACATACAGTACAGTACGCCTAAAATGAAATATCTAAGTTAAACAATTCAAACGTATGGTTAAATTTCTTTAAAGCATTCTGGTTGAGTGGCAAAGTGGCGACGCACTCGCCTTTCAGCTACTGGTGTCCTGGGTTGGAGTCTCTGAACCGACGTAAAAAGGTACTTACTCCGAATTCCTTCCACAGTAAAACACCCTTGCACACTTCAACATGGACCAGCAGCAGTGATCAACGTGAAACATTGTGTTGAATTATGTGACAAAATAAAATAAATACTGATTAAAGCACATCTCAAACATAAGTAGAGAACTCACATCCACATAATTGATTTGTCATTAACACGAGCTGGAAGCAACAGGCCTGTTACTATTAACTGTTTCTAGAAAAAGACATTTTGTAAACCGCCACGTGTAAGAAAGGTGCTAAACCGAATCCCTTCGGTAAACCTAAAAACAAAACAAGTGACCCGTAGTTGTAATATTTTCTGTGTCACATGTTCATATGTAGTTAAATATATAACGTCACATAATTGACAGAAGAATTGCAATATATATAAGTTTACAAATAAATAAACAAGTAGCGTTCAATAAAAAACAATACAAATTAAGTCTCAGCAATCTCGAGACAATATCAGTGAGATGTTTATGCCACAGTTGTATGGCGTAATAATGCACGATTTCGCACGTGTCCTTGGTCATCGATCACCGCAGTAACTCTGTGTGGATCAGATATTTAAATGTTCATTGTGTAGTTAAGGTTTGATTCTGTCATTCGTTTTCCGGATTCGTATTTTCCATTTCACCTAGAGGAGCATATTTTGATGATTTTTGTTTCCATATCAGAATAACACTAATAACTCCAAAGCTTGTCAGAATAATACCGAGAAAAGCAGCCAGCAATTTCGGCAGTAGTGTACCGTGAACAATTTTGTCTTTTATACTACAACTCCATGCATCGAAGTGACGTATATCTGAAAGTTTGACAGGATTCTTCATCCACTCCAACACCTGTTGTACCGTCACTATATACACATCTCTGTGGGATAACATTTCTCTTATAGCTTGATCCAAACCATCTCTTGTGAAGGGATGATAGAACCAGGAAGCGTGCATGCTGATTCCAAATGGCGCTCGGTTACCATGGTAATGACTTTGAAAATTGTCCATGACGTATCTGTAAGCATCGTCGGCACTGGACGGCATCCGGAAACAGCCATCGGCATATGCACAAGGCAAATCGTTCAAAATCATAGCATTAACGGGTACCTCCCAAAATCCATTGTGTTTCTTATCAGGACAACTCGGAGTACACAAACTCTCTTGAAATGGCCATCCGTAATCTAACGTAAAAGGCCAAGGGTTCGGATCACCTATTCCTAGCCGGGTGTACGTCATTGAAATATCATATGTGTAATTGAGATGTTGTAGGATGTCAAACTGAGCATTCCCCCTTGTCAGCAAACTAGGGCTCCTCCAGCCCACTATGTCATCCTGGGGTGCGGCAGCAAACTGGGCGATGTTGTCACGTTGATCCCTAGCCTCCTGCTGTAGTTTTGAGTCGGTAGTAATGGATCTGTGATTGACGCTGTGTACAGCTAGTTCGAATCCGCGATTGTAGTACCTTTTTACTACACCATAATCAGTACTTAAGTGTGATATATACAACGTGATTCCGACTGGACAGCCATTAGGGTTAATACGAGTTCGTCTGAACATGAAATCATAGTGTTTCGCCACGTCTTCGTTCACTGCACCATCAAAACCAAAATACACCATCTGAGGGATGTCATTTCTGTCCATGGAGTGTTCAAATGTACTGCAGAAACAGTCCGGCAGGTGGCAGTTCACACCTTGTTGACAAGATACATCAGCTGCTGTGATTATTTTGTAAAAATAAAATAGGGAACACCACATTGCTACACCGAACGCCATCTTGGATTTGATATCATGGACGTTATATTATATCTGTATTTCAGAATACAGCTCGATGTTTACTCTAATGCATCGTTTTTCCTTAGGCGATGTTCTTACTTCATTCTTAGTGTCATGTACTATATATACAGACTGAAAGCAGGGTACTCTAAATATTGTATTCAGTGAGTTTTTGTTTCACGCGTATTCTCAAGAACTACATAAGGATTTTAAACTACACGAACAAGTTTATTTCAAGTAAGCGTGTACCAGAAATCATACATGTCATTTTGTTATTAAAAAATTAAAACAAACAAACGTTGTGATATTGCAAGTATTTTTTTTTCACTTTCGGAATTAAGATAGTAAACAACATACATGATGAAAGAAGCGTCCTGCCATAAAGTTTACCAGCTGCTGCCAATAAGTATGTAGACATGACTATTTTGAAACAGTCATTTTCTCCTAAGTAGACTGTAGATGTGCTGGTGGACATTTTCGATAATGACACTTTTGTCTTGTATTGGACTGTATCGTCACAATAGTTCATAAGGATATTGATTTTTTTTCGATATTTATTGTTTAGCTCAAGAAAAAAAAATTGATTTTTTATTTTGTCGTTTTGGAGGAAATGCCTTTTCGACACTAAGCTGGAACATAATTTAATTAAAAATTGCAACGGTACTAAGCAGACTAAATCTGAAGGTGGTTGTTTTTAACCTGTTTCGGATAAAAACATAAATAGGCAGGGTTAGTATAACTGTGGATGTGCTATCATATTGATATAGCATTTTTCTTATTCATTATATCAAAATTTTATATCATGAACGAATTATTCCTAAGATTTCTAAGATTTATCTTAGACTATGTAGTTAATTGACGTAAATTATGTATGTACACTTAATTGGCTTGCTTATACGGTTTATAGAATAGCGAGATTTGTTTTATAGAGACGGTGTCTTATGAAAGAAATACCTGAAGCGTGTCCTGATATGAGGTAGATGTTTGATTTGGCGCATCTGCATTTTGTGTACACATATAACCCCATGTTATCGATTTGTTAAATAAATGAACGTATTATCTGTTTGAGATAATTGATGTACTACATTTAAAATCAATCAAACATGTGAAAATAGACAGTGTCCACTTTTCTTTCTACAAAACATTGTACCTGCGGCTATTTTTTACATTACAAACATGTAATATTATATATAACAATACATCTGGTATAATGTGCTGCTACATGTACAACCTTTAAAGTTAAGGGTAGACGGTAAGATATTTCAATAGATTCTGCCGTTCGATGTAGCCACGTTGTCGCCACGTGTGGAGTATATGCTGGTTGACTCTCCACTATGAAGTAACCCTACACATACTACTTACCAACAGGAAATCATGTACTGATTGTGTACGACGGAGTGGTCCTGTCAGGAATTAATCATGGATTATACAAATATAGTTTATATGATCTATGTAAGTGTTTTGATAGTTACTTTAGCTGGTGGACAAACTTGTAAACAATGTTTCAACTGCCATTTACCGTCTTGTTTTTGTAGTACATTCAAACACCCAATGAACCGGAGTGACATTCCACAAATGGTGTATTTTGGATTTGATGGAGCCTTGAATTCATTTTCTGCAAAATCTTACGACGTTCTGTTCAGGCGTGAGCGCATTAACCCTAACGACTGTCCAATTAGTGCTACTTTGTTCATTACCCATAATTCCACGGACCATGATCTCTCTAAAAAGTACTATGAACTTGGCTTTGAACTAGCGGTATCGGACGCAGCAAATACAATATATGATTTGGGATTTAACATTATGAATGAGGTGATGATCCATAAGACAATTATGTCGAAACACATTGGGATACCTCTGTCAGATATAGCAGGTTGGAGGAGCCCAATGTTAAGAGCAATGGGCGACCTGCAGTTTCTCGCTTTGCAGAAATCACACTACATCTATGACAGTTCTATGATATATACGAAAAATCACATTAATGATAGTGACGTCTGGCCGTTTACTTTAGACTATGGGTGGCCGTACAGGTCCTCGTGTTCGTCTAGATGCCCGGAAGATCAATACCATGGCCTTTGGGCGATTCCCGTGAACTCCATGATTCTTGACGGAAAATCATGTATGTATGCGGATAGTTGTGAAGAAAAGCTCTCCAACGTTAACGCAACTTTCAAATACTTGATGGACAATTTCCACAGCCATTACTATGGCAACAGGTCACCGTTCGGAATCAACATCCATTCAAATGACTTTGTTGACGACCATAAGGAGGAGTTAGATTTGTTTATTAATGAGATACTCAAGTACGGCGATGTCTATATCGTCAACATTAAACAAATGATTGAATGGATGAGGCACCCTACCAAACTCTCGGACATCCGGGCTTTCGTACCGTGGTGTACGTCAGATGTGGAAGGAAATGAAAGGGAAACGATAAAGAACATGTCTAACGGTCTAACACTTGCAGAGAAGGCATTGTTAGATATATTGGTGCTTGTTTCAAGTGTCGGTATCTTGTATACTCTTTCAATAATGATGGAGAGATTGCATCTCGTCTTAGGAAAAAAGCAATATCGTCCTTTGTATGAGGAAATTCCTCTTAACCAAGACTCCTATATCTGACTGTTATCTAGATATATTTCAGCTGTAACTTAATAATCATATGTTTGTACATATAACATATATATATATATATATATATATATGTTTACTGTCATATATATATATATATATATATATATATATATATATATATTTGTTTCAATACACGATGAATTACCTGTCTTTTAATAAATAATGAATATGTCTGCGTATTTTTACTGACTTAAAATAATTGACAAAAAAGTGACAAATAATTGCTCCACTTAATCAGTTATTATGAAAAATACCCGAAGCATAATACATCATGTACATATGCGAAATGATGCACGTGTAAAAATACAACCTTTTTTCTCTGAATACAGCAGTAATATAGATGGCAGGTTTATTCAAACAGTGACGTCACCAGTTGAGGGAACTTGGATACGAATGACACGAACGTACAAATAAATGATCCTAGAAAATTATTAACGACAATAGGTACAACAGTTTCTGTGTCAGAATTTCGCATCAAATGAACTTCGGATTGATAACCATCTATTCCAAGATCGCTATTTACTCTTGGATTTTTTATTACTTATATATTTCTTGTTACCAATAATATTGGACATTGAATGGGACATGTAGGTTATAGAGACAGGACCAGTAACAAGACATAAACACACTGGGGTCTTTTATGAAGGCGTCACATTACCACATGGTATTAATGATGATTGTCAATAATGTGGTATAGCGTTTTATACTTCATTCTCTTGTAATCATTATCCTGGTTAACGTCCTGAATAACTTTCTTTGAACTCACGACATTGTCATAATCGTTAAATATATAGCGAACATCCTCTAAATCGCTGGTAATGGTGTATCTTGTCTATATATTTGATGTTAGCTGACAAATTCCGACATGATGGCTACATCACGATGTGTAAAATTGTTTACCGGTACATGTATGTATTTACATTGTTAAAGACAAATTGAAAGGTTCACCCCATCGTTCAAAATACAAATATTTATACAGTATAAGAATCAAAAACAAGTAAATAACAAAATAAACAAAAACATGGTTATTGTGTAACGAGAGCGGAGGCTAATGCTAGTGAGATTGACCAAGCGTTCAGAAAGGTTTAGCGTCTTATGCTCCAAGGATAACACCCGCCATGTAAATCTTGGTCAATCCAAGAAAGTCAACAAACGAAACAAGTTTAACAATTATGAAAAACCACCAAGTATACCAATACCATGAAACACATCTTACTTCCAAACATGTTTGTGTCCATAAACTGTCTCAACATGCATCGTGGCCTACATATTCCGTCAGTTATCGACACTTTTCATGGAAATCGTGATATATGGAACAAGTCCATATATATCTAAAAGACTGCAATAGGAATCTATGGTAGATATCGTCTTAAAATATATTTAAGGGCTTGTTTTCAATCTCTTGATTTTCGTGAAACATGTCTACAGCTGTTGTGGATGCACAATTGTACTTATAAGAATCACAGGATTCTAGAATCTAGTATGTAGTAGATATTTTCATGACTTTATATAGATCATCTAATTGTCTATAACCTGAAACATTTCTAGCAAAACAAATCAACTTGTGGTATTTTTAGAAATTAAGATTAGATAAGAAGTAGGTTTCCTTTGCAGAAGAATACAAAGAAATTAAATTCAGGACTCATTCAGCAGCTGGAGCGGTATCAAAAAGGAAGTACACTAAGGTCCAAATCTCATACCATTACTTTTCAACATCCTCTCGTACCAACACTTCCTAACATCCTTATCAACAACATTTTATTCTTAGTAACATTACAAACTTTATAATTATGCTAACGAGAATAGCTTACGTTAGCTCAACAACAGATTTAACTGACATGTGCTGTGGAACAAGACACAAAACATCTCACACACTGATTCAACATAAATAAAATTAAATTAGATTTCAATTATTTGACGTAAGGGGAAACACGATAAAAATAATGTCCTTCAAAATACCTGATAACTCCTGATTAGGTGTATTACTTAGCTTTAATTCGATCACCACATCCAACCTATATTTAGAAAATCCTTCTAGCATCAGTATACTGTATAAAAACAAAAACAAAAAATATATAAATCAAAACACGTCTTTACAAACCCAATGAAAATCACAATTTTTCACATGAACATACTCTCAAACTTCAATTATTTCTGGTTACTCAAAACAAATATAAATTAGAGAAAACTGAGTACAGGACTTTTTTTTATTTATATACAATAAATTCTCAAGCTAAGAACTTTTGGCCGAGCATATACACCAGCTTTTATTTTTTTCCAAAATAATACACAAAGTTACACCGCCATGTCAACACAATATTGGTTAACCTTAAACTGAAAACTACGGCTTCCAAATAATTTAGATATGTATACGTAATTGCGGTTGGTATATCAGTAAGTTCGTCAAGGAGATATACACTATTCGCGTAATACACATTAATTGATAAGGTTAATGATTTGTTAAAACGATTGAACTTGTCTTAAACAAATGACTTAAGTATCATTAACTGAACAACTTGCAAAATTTTAAAAGCGAATATGTGGATTGTCCTTTTTTATCCGTTATGTATCAAGTTTGGTAAGATGACAAAATTACTGTCATTTCTTAGAATATGAATATTCTACTGGTTACGATTGAAATTGTTTTCGTGAGGCGACGAGAGAAGGTAAAGAATTCTATCATCCGATCTCGGATGAATATCCAAGTTCTATTCCTTCTGGGGACTCTGGGAACAGAGGTCACGAACCGTCCTGTGACGTCATGGATGTGTCCTTGACAAGATATTAGACCACGATTACTTAACACAGCATGAGGTGGAGCTCCTGAACGTTATTCAGGGAGATAGCCGTCAGCCTTAAATTGTCCTTGGCTGTTAACGGGACAATAAATCCAGCAAGCAAATAAAACGCGAGGCGATAAAACGTCTATTACGAACGAAGCGAACGCTCGCACGAAAAACTAGTTCGACAATCATAATTGTTTACAAGTTGAATTGAACTAAAGCCTCATCTACATCACGAGAAGCGGAATCAACAGCTCGATCTAAAAGGCGATGAATCATCAATGCCATTGTATTGCTTGGTGACCCTGAATATCCGTTGAAATCATGATTGATGAAACCATACTGTAACAGGGTCATTCTCATGCCAGTTCAAACAGCATTTGTCTATCGTAATATGATGGCATGAATGACCATTGAAAATCCACGTGGACGCCTGAAGGCGCTTGTAGAATAAAATCGATGTTAACGTATAATTTCTATGTACTGTTATTGCAACCTCTGTTATTCTGTGTAAAAATTGCGAAATACACAAGGGCGACAACAAGGATGAGCTGTGAGAGGACGTCGCCGATGAAGACAATGAGAATGACGGTCACGTGGACGATGGTGACTAAGAAAACAAATTGTTTGAAGGATTCAGATGACATTGCAGCTTCATTGGTAAATAATCAGCGTACATATATGCTTTGACTTACGCCCAGTTCATTTTTACTTGGTTCAATTATAAAAATTTACTTCATCGGTCAATACTATTTCTACTAGAGTATTGAACAATTGCTTACTTCCGGGTAGACATTCTTTGTAACGTCATTTGTTTCCACAAGTTAAATAATTCTTGACAGAAACACACAGGTGTGCAAATCTTGGTGACCCTTGATATGTCCAGGTGCAAAGAGGTATGGGTGGTTTATCTTAACGGAGCACCTATTTAAGTCCATTGGTTTGTATATTGAACATATACAAACCAAGACAATGGACTTCAATAGTTGCTTCGGCAAGTCCGTTTTAATGTCTTGAAACTCGATATACAACATTCAACAATCAGAATATGTATTTCACATTGTTCGGAGTTCGACATTCATCATTCCGGATTCGACTATAGTGCAGCTCGACATTTAAGGGCTGCAAAAAAAACAAAATTTTAAAAAGATCACTTTAACATAAGTAACCAAAACGTACGTTTTATTTAAACATGTAATTCAACATTGAACTTGTACACTGTAACTGCCATTTTATGGGGAATTAATCCATGTAGACAAAAGATTCATCATGATGATTTCCTAAGACGTTCACTTGACAATTTCCATGAAGCCAAAAGTGTCTTCAGTTCCTCGGTCTGTGGAGGGGAGAGGAGTTCTTTGTCTACACGTTTAACCATGCTGGTGGGTGTACAACCTATGGTAGCTTGCTTACATATATTCACGGCACACACGAATCCATCAGACAAGCGTACAAACTGTTGCTCGATATAGAATGCCTTTTCGTCCCAGTGAATAAACTGAAATTAAAAGTAGAGAGAGAATATGAATACAGTTGTCTGTTTCATTTCTAGCTCAAGAGACATCTGTATTCAATATTAATCAGATACACTGTAACTGCCATTTTACGGGCAATGCATCACATTTGTTCCATGCAGACAAAATATTCATCATGACTATTTCCTTCACTTGACAATTACCAAGAGGCTAAAAGTGATTTTATATGTACTATCGACACGATTCAATAATTCAACCATATAATTCACACATGATTTATTCATAAAAAAAATTCAGCTTTATTGTGCAGGAAATATTTCAGGAACGTTAATGTGTATTGTACGTCCATGAATATAGAGTTGTGAGAGCAACAAATACAAATAGTTAACCGGGAAATGAACTAAACACTTTAAATTGTGAGCGCGCAAAGTGATATAAATGTATGCTTTGATATAACAACCGTCACCCTAGAGACAACTCGGTTTCGTGTGAGACTCATCCTAGATGTTACTCGGAATTTTGTGTGTGAGACTTACACTAGAGACAACTCGATATCGTGTGAGACTCACCCTACAGACAACTCGGTTTCGTGTGAAATACCTTGAGACAACTCAGTATCCTGTTAAACTCACATTAAAGACAATTCAGTATCGTTTGAGATTTGTCCTGGAGACAATCGGTATCCAATGAAACTCACCCTAGAGACAATTCGGTATCTTGTGAACAGATGCAGGGACTTCCGGAAGCGGATGTTGGTGGCAGCGTTGGTGACGTGGAACCTCTGACCAATCGTCTGCACCACGCCACTTTCCAGCCATAGCTTAGTTTGTGCCAGGTCACATTCACGTAAATACCGTGAATTGTTCATATGAAACATGGCGTCCAGGTCTGTTGTCAGGACGATACCTGTAACATGCACAAGAACTTAAGTTTGTCATATATTGATACTTAGTATTTGAACAAAATTTAGATTTGTTAAGACTTGAACTTTCTGATTTCATTGCTGTTGAAAAAAACTCAACCGCTGTTTCAGTTAAGCATTAGACTACCACTAACTGTTTCAGATGGATTCCAACCACCATCAGGTCAGCTGTGGTAATTAATCACTGCACGCTGTAATATGGTCTTCAATAAGACTCATCTCGTCTGCACCATAACCTGCATTTCTCCCAAACTTCTGTTACACTCTCTGGGTCATCTCCCATGATTGTGCAAGGGACCCTCTGGAACTGATCTCTACGGAGGGCAAGAAGGTGCTCTATGCCTTCTGTCTGCACTGCTCTGCAAGCTCTCGATATTTGGCAGCACATATGTCTCATGTGTCCTTTCCCCCGACGGAACTGTCAGCTCCACCAGGATGATTTTCTGACCATATCACAAAGTCTGGTCTCAGTATGGTAGTACAACATCAGGAAAGAAAAGACGTTTGTTGGTTCTGCTCTTATTTCCCTAATTGGTGCTAGGCTTTGCAAGTTCATGTCACATGATGTAGTTGGGTGCGGCTTTTCTTCCGCTCTCACAGACTGTACGTGGGTTTCGTTACTGGCCTCGTCCGTCACCCGCCGCTGTCTCCAGAAAGAAAACAAGGCCGTAAGAACCTGTCCTTAAAGAAATATGTATCTTCCCTGCTAGAGTGCTACTCTAGAGCTGGGTAGGAGGTGTGCTAGTGTTTCTGTTCCACCACACCGGGCACAGTCTGGATATTCCAAGAGTCTCCATCTTCAGTAATTATTTGTTAATGGTAGTGTGTCAAACACCAACCCGACGATGAAAGAGATTCTTACTGGTTCCATTTTCCACTGGTCAACCCATTTGATCTTGAGCTCAGGAAGATCCCATCGAGTCCCCGATCCACGCTGTTTTATATACGTGCAATAGCTCACGTGTGCCACTTACAATGCTGCCTATTCTTTTCCTGCCTTCCGCTTTGCACCACTGCTGAAAACTAACACAGGAGTTCCCTACGATGTCCTGCATCTACATGACGATTCGTTATATCAAATACCCCAAATAATATAAATATAAAATATGTTTCAAATTCGACAAAAGAGGAATATCACCATTTCATCAAAATATATCTGTATTACTATATTATGTTACACAGACATTTCATAATTTGCCTTGAGGTACTGGTTATTGACCATGTGTCCCCATAGATAACAGTTTAACACAGAAGTCTGCCAAAAGAACCAAGAGGAAATATGTTTACTATACCATGTAAAGACATAAAACATGCTTTATTACATAATAATACTCATAAAAAATTTCCTTCAAATTTGCTTCATTGAGTGTTTTTTGTTGACAAACTCCTTATTGAACACTGACAAGTTTACTTTACTATGCTATCCTGCTTTATAGTGTTTCGCAGGCACTTCCGCGAGTAACGCCAAAAAGATTCGAGACGAGTGTCACAAAATCTCAAAGGAAATGAAAATAAATTCGAGATTCTTTTTATCACATAACACTTTTGATTTAACATGTCCGTTGATTTAAAACAAATTGTCCACAAAAAGTAAAACCTTACCGTCCATCGTACAAGGGTCAAGCACATTGGTCTTCACAAATTGTCGTCTGACGATCGAGAAGATGACGACGAAAATGAGGCGAACGATGTAATTAACATCGAAAAGGTAATACACGAGGAGAAGGATGGAAATGGCGGCGAACATCTTACCTGTAAAAGGATTGACTACAAATGATGTAAGAAGCACTGAAGGCGAGACGTACGGTAACAACAACTTCTATACATCAAAGCTAGTGTCATTCGATAAAATAATACGGAAATATGAATACACTGGTGCTGTTAACGTGAATGTAATATCACAATGTCAGTTTTAAGAACAAATTACCATTGTGATCCGATAATTTAGTGCCGTCCTCTGGCTTCACGTTGGAACCTTCCGGTATGTATCCGTTGATCGTGGCAGAACGAGGTAATTGCCGCCATCAGATTACATTATCGTGTCTTCTCTCTTAATTACTTTTACAAGAGCTTCGTGTATATCGTGATAGCATGTCATCACCATTTTGTCAAAGCCTTAAGTAAATGGGTTTAATAAGGCAATAACATTATACAAATGTGATCCTTCAGAAAGTACATGGCGTTTATATAGATGGAGAGCAAAAATATGTCCATATATACATACCAACATAGGGAAAACATCAGAATACTTTGAAAAGTTATAATAAAAATAAAATATATCTTGAATTATTAAAAGCTTGTACGATTGGGAAAAAAACTGTAAACTTTGATTTCGTTACACTTTAATGGTCAGCACATGTTTTTCGGGGTTTCTAAGCAAGACAACACATATGTATTACTTGAATTTGGGGGCCTGTAAAATAATCCTACAATGATTTGTCTATTATGACACATCACTTCCGCCCAAAATGCATTCAAGAGTAGCTGTTTCAAACTCTCGTTTGCGACAAGCTGTAATTATATCAGAAAAGTAAACAAGAACACCACCACCGTGAGCATTTCTATCTTTACGCATCAATAAAGAATAACCAGGAATAGTCAAGGACCCATTTTCAACATTGTTATCAAGATGTGTCTCTGTGAGGCACAAAATATCAAAGTCACTTAGAATGGAATCGAGAAAAGTACATTTATTTCTTATGATTCTGACGTAAAAGTGCAGTATGCTCACGTCAAAGTTACTAAGGTTGACAGGACCAGGATTCCGTTCAATATCTCCACTAAGAATGCATGTAGAAGATAGTGTACAATTTGAAAGAACACCTTGGAACATGCAGATAAAACGCATATTTCTCTAAGTAAAAACAATCGTTATTTCATACATTGAACAACATGGCATTTGTAAATCAAAATCGTGTCTGACAACAAAAGGCATAAAGTATGGCAACATAACTTTATTTCAATATTTAATTTTATTCTTTGTATACTCGATGTAAATAATCTAGCTGATCCCGCCACACACACACACACATCCTTACACATACGCACTCCGATTAGAAAAAGAAATCATAATATCACAGTCTCTTAAGTTAAGATATCCAACAATTAGATCACCATGGAATAAAGTTTTAAAATAATGTAAAATTAGAGATGTAAAAATAACCTGAAAACACGTGTATAATATTACGCTTTAAAAGTAACTATAACTATAGATAAAACGATAATTTCATTTTCCCTACCAATGCGTTTGCCAACTATAAGACTCCGGTCTATTAAGCATCTCTCGCTAACTTGATATTTGATATTTGTTTAAACTGCGAAAATTTCATAAGATAAAATTAAGCTTATTCAACTTCTTGAAAAAAATTCTAGTGTATCGTATGCAAATTACTACTGGTATTTCATGTTCTTTATTTCATTTTTTTTTTCAATATGGGAAAATCTGAAAATTGTTGAATTTCGGGGTAATTGCATCTCACCTGGCGAATTTTTACCTCAATATCGACTGATTTTGATTCTTAATCGGTCGTCTCCTTAGCTGCAGCAAGTCCTTAGCATCACTGACAAGCCCTAGAAGGACAAAACAGCTGCATGATGAGGGTTAATTCATTACTGTAGCTAAATGTAAATATGTAAAGCGTCGGTTCACTTCAGAGTCTTTGTACATGTGCTTTGGTCTATCTATTTAGATGTTAAAGTTTACCAATAGTATTAGAACTATACTTCGTTCTCACGTAAACAATACAGGTTTCATTATTTCGGTGTGTACAGCACGACCTATTTGTCTAAAATTTGTAAGTATACATAAATTGCACACAAATGTATCGTATAATATTCTTTTATATGTATCAATAGTTGAATATTTGAGATAAATTCAGGGTGTACAGATATATCGATTCCTAAAATCTTACTTTTTCTATGCCTTGCGAATCAGAATGTTGTTAAATGATATTTCGACGAGAATACTCAAATTGATAACATTTTTAAAAAGAAAAGCACGACAGGAGAAATGATATATAAGACTGAATGTCAGAGATTCCATCTGTTTTAGAGAACAAGTCTATCCTTTATCAGAATTCATTGCATAGATCTGTAGTCCGAGTCAAACGTTTTCTTCATCAGAAGTACGCCATTACAACTTCTTCGTCAGAAATAAGTGTACAAGCTTGTTGTTCATGTCTCATTTTTTCTTCATCAGAAGTGATTTTAAAAGTCTCTAATCCAAGTCATTGTAACTTCATCATCAGAAGTCCAGTACAACATTTATCAGATCTATGTGTACACATCTGCCTTCCACACCAGTAGAACATTTATCAGATATAAGTGTACACGTCTGCCTTCCACACCAGTAGAACATTTATCAGATATAAGTGTACACGTCTGCCTTCCACACCAGTAGAACGTTTATCAGATATAAGTGTACACAGATATAAGTGTACACTTGCCACACCAGTAGAACGTTTATCAGATATAAGTGTACACGTCTGCCTTCCACACCAGTAGAACGTTTATCAGATATAAGTGTACACGTGTGCCTTCCACACCAGTAGAACGTTTATCAGATATAAGTGTACACGTGTGCCTTCCACACCAGTAGAACGTTTATCAGATATAAGTGTACACGTCTGCCTTCCACACCAGTAGAACGTTTATCAGATATAAGTGTACACGTGTGCCTTCCACACCAGTAGAACGTTTATCAGATATAAGTGTACACGTCTGCCTTCCACACCAGTAGAACGTTTATCAGATATAAGTGTACACGTGTGCCTTCCACACCAGTAGAACGTTTATCAGATATAAGTGTACACGTCTGCCTTCCACACCAGTAGAACATTTATCAGATATAAGTGTACACGTGTGCCTTCCACACCAGTAGAACGTTTATCAGATATAAGTGTACACGTGTGCCTTCCACACCAGTAGAACATTTATCAGATATATGTGTACACGTGTGCCTTCCACACCAGTAGAACGTTTATCAGATATAAGTGTACACGTGTGCCTTCCACACCAGTAGAACATTTATCAGATATATGTGTACACGTGTGCCTTCCACACCAGTAGAACTTTTATCAGATATATGTGTACACGTGTGCCTTCCACACCAGTAGAACGTTTATCAGATATATCAGATATATAAGTGTACACGTGTGCCTTCCACACCAGTAGAACATTTATCAGATATAAGTGTACACGTCTGCCTTCCACACCAGTAGAACGTTTATCAGATATAAGTGTACACGTGTGCCTTCCACACCAGTAGAACATTTATCAGATAATGTGTACACGTGTGCCTTCCACACCAGTAGAACATTTATCAGATGTAAGTGTACACGTCTGCCTTCCACACCAGTAGAACATTTATCAGATAATGTGTACACGTGTGCCTTCCACACCAGTAGAACGTTTATCAGATATAAGTGTACACGTGTGCCTTTCACACCAGTAGAACGTTTATCAGATATAAGTGTACACGTGTGCCTTCCACACCAGTAGAACGTTTATCAGATGTGTACACGTGTGCCTTCCACACCAGTAGAACGTTTATCAGATATAAGTGTACACGTGTGCCTTCCACACCAGTAGAACGTTTATCAGATATAAGTGTACACGTGTGCCTTTCACACCAGTAGAACATTTATCAGATAATGTGTACACGTGTGCCTTCCACACCAGTAGAACATTTATCAAATGTGTACACGTCTGCCTTCCACACCGTTAGAACTTTTGTTCCTCCGTCAGTTCCATATATTGTCCACTGTTAAGCGTCTCATTGATTGCTGCATCGCTATCACTTCCCATTTCCAGCTTGAACACCCTAATGACGATATAAATCTCATATCAAGTTTTCATTCTTAATTTTCTGATATCTTTAGAATATGTAAAGTTAAACGATATATGCCTTACAACACACATTTTATAATCATATATCAGGGCTATATATCTACTTAAATCTGTATCTTAATAAGACTACATATATATTATATGTACAATTTAAACCGTCAATTTGTAATCGTTCTTTATCCCAGTTTTACAATTGCATATGGTAACAATTTTAATCACTTACTTTTTCCAACAGAAGAACAATCCGATAGCCGCCAAGAACAATGACAGTGGTATTAAGATGAGACACAGCGCTAAGGTATCTATTACAAAGAAATATCAATAATGACACAACAATCATTGCTTTTGACTTGTTAGTTTTAGATATACGTACTATTAATATGAAATAGACACTGCGTAAGAGTGAGTGAAATCAAACGTCGTTTTGACGCTCAGTCGGTAATGCATACAGTGGCTAGCGATGATAAATCTGCGCTTTAAACAGGTAATTATATGATCAGATAATTCTATGAGCTTTGATATGTGTGTTTATTACTTTAAACTTTTACTATGTTTCGATTTCTACATGGATGATTCATTGATTATTTAGTATGTTAGAATACTTTTTAACCAATAGATAGGTTGCAAGTTAGCGGTTCATTTGCAGAAAGTGTCGGCGGGACAGCTGATCAAGGCTGATCACATATGCAATTTTCTGGTTTCCACACACAACACCATAAAACACTATCTACGCTAGTTGTAAATTCTTAAATCGATTTCAACGATATCTTTTAAAAATATGGATATGTTTCGTGTGTTATGATATATATATATCATCTTCACAGTCAGAATGGTCGGTTTAGAATTAGAATGATTTTTTCCGGTAAATTACATGCTGTAATGACATATCGCAGTTATCCCCCTTTATCGAGTTATACATACTGTTGGAAACTGAAGAGTCACTTTTGTAATTATCATCCACAACATGCAAGCCGTTAATACCTGCCGGACACAGTGAAGAGGTTGTTCCTGAAGATTAAGACATACCGGTTATGTTTATATATTTTCATTTTCCTGATCATATCCTCATTTACGACTACTATCAAAACAACATGTCGATTGAATGGACAGACTTCTATATGTAGCATTCGAAACATGTTGATATCATACCAATATTTTTTCTTAAATTTGTAATATAATATTTTTCTATTTTGAATTATATTCTAAAGACTAAAATTCCCATATTATGGAAGATCCTTACAAGTTTACGTTTGTATCACAAACGAAAAATGAACAAGCTATTGGTAGAAACTTCTTATTCCTAAACCAATATTGACGTAAACATATAACACTTACCGTTCTGTTGTAATGGTGTAACGTACAGTAGTTTAAGCATGGAACAATAGGGTGTCCGAATCACCTGGCTGAAGGCTTCATACTGAGTGCCGTCTTTATGCACTCGATAAATATATCTATGGAATGAAAGGTACGAAGCAATGTAGGTAAACGAGACTTAATTTGATAAGCATTTGGTGAAAAAGTAGACAGAAAAGAGGCTAAAAGTCTCCCCGTTAACAGCTATACAATTGTAGAAGCCAATATCAGTTTCAATTAAAAAAATAATATATTCAGAAAGTGAGATAATGACTGAAAAACAAGCTGAATAACGATAAATTAATAATTCATATAGATTATATGCATACATATATTTATACTAGCAAAATCGAATATATTAAACCTTTTGTATAAAAGGATGATTCGTGGACGTAAATGTGATGTCAACCCTAAGATCTTCCATTAAAATTGAACGGTTATTAAAAAGATTTTTTTAAAAATAAAGACAAAGTCTTTCAGTACACGTTCAAATTTATAGCAAAAAATAAAATTGAGTGATGAATATTGCATTAAATTTTGCCACATAGCTTTTAATGTTTGTATAACTCGTCAAACATTATCTTGTCCTAATGTTTAGAAATCTCAAAGGTCGTTTGGAAGATCAGGAAATCAACACCTTCCAAAAGAGATGCTGAGATATAAATAGGATTAAATCAACTATACACATAATGCATATTTTTATATTAATTAGAAAGTATATCAATACAGATATATCAAAACTTAAAGAAAACGAGGGCCACCATTAAATATAATCTCATTTTGTATACCTGTGACCTACATTTGGATACATGAGCTATTTATAGGTTACCGTTCAGAGTTTAGCACTGAAAATCATATATTTTATCAAACAGTTAAGGTAAATGAAAAACGAAAATAACGACATGTCGACGGAATATTAATTCAAACTCATATTCGATGCATCAGAATCTAAATTGTATGAAAAAATAAATAATCACACGGAGAATGTTCTGGGGGTATAAGTCCAGGTGTTCCGAAAGAGTAAATTTATGAAAATACAGACTTGTTATTAAATGACTACTGGTGACGATGTCTTGAACCGAGCCACCATGGAAATAAGTAAATAAATTCTTTCTATACTAACGTATCACAATTTTGGGTTGCAGGGCCTTGGTTACAATAATTTAAAGTGAAGTACAGATGACCTCCTGCTGCGGCCAAACCCTGAACAGCCTGGTTATCCTTTTTGGAAATGGTGAATAGCTTTTTGACGTCATGATATGTTCGACTTATCCTCCAAATGACATTTCCACGTATTGCATAAATATGGGTATCTACAAAAATACAACGTAAAAGAAAGTGAAACGTATTTCTTTATCAAAAAGTGTTATAATAATGTTTTCTTTTTTTACTGAAAACTAGGTTTTTGAAAATTACAAATACTTATGAAATATTATAATAATAACAGTATTTCATGACATATCTAAAAATGCAGATTGTAATGCTGGTAATGTCACATTCCGAAATGAGAACAAAGTAAACAACAAAGGAACCACAAAGCAAACTGATGAGCATCGAACACGTTCATCTTCATATGCACAAGGAAATAAAATATTTCTCAAGGAGATCATATATCAATTATATTAATACATCTATGATCAATATTCCATCATATTTGAAAAGTCAACCGATCTTGACAATTCTATATACTTTCCATTGATGTATTACAAAATATCGGTTCACAAATGTGATAAAAAGATACTTTATTTTGTACATATATATAAACTCGCTTGATTTAAAGGAGGCGGTTCGTTAGACTACTGCCACAACGTTAAAGAATAACTTAAAACGCATTTCTAACTTCACCACCTAACAGTTATAGTTAAGATATAAACTATTGAAGTTTCTAATGGGACAAACATCAACACGTGATGTTTTTTGTATTTTTATTTCATGGTATAATTTGAGTTAGATCACAGTCTGGTTTATCAATATAATCAAAAAGAAAGAATTAGAGACTTTAGATATTTCTTACATGAAATATATACCTCATCTCAATTTCTATGCCCAAGACAATTCTACTGGAGCTATGAAATAATATTTATATTATTAACACCTCTTTAAGTATAAACCTACAGATATATACGAGGATTTACCGTCAAATGTGATTCCATTACTACTGGCGGAATTGTTGAGAAGCATCTGTGTTCCTGTACCGTTATAGCTGCACTGGTATACACCTTTATCAGATCCCAGAAATAATACCCTGTAAATGCAAAACACATACTCTTTAGTTCTCTTTTTCAGAAAGCTGATATTTACTCCCTAAGGGCATGAAACCAACAGTAAAGGCGAACAACACGATACTGGTGTAAGGTTTATACGTGTACTTTATATGCACTGGTTAGACTGAACATTTCTGTATATAAACTGATATTTTAATCTAAATATTCACATTGATTAAGATTTTATTTATATATTTACATTTTTATTGACTATGCGTAGTTTAGAGACAGAACGGAGGTGTTCATAAATAAATATAATTAAAATTAAACAATAATTCTCGCAATGTACCCATATAAATATCAATAATAGTAAAGCAAAAATATGAATAATGACATTAAATTAAAATCTAAACTAGCACTAGTTATACATGTACACTGTTTTCGTATTTTTCATACTGATCTAAAGAGAATGAAACATAACGATACGTTATTAAAACATCATAGGACAGCCCACCGGTCGTTATCACTATAAATGATAACATACTTAATTAAAGGTGTCGTATTGTACAATTCCGAAGGAACGGGAGTTAATCTCCTTACTGATTGATTCACCTCGTTTGATATGAAAAATGCATATTTTTCTCGATGAATTTACTTGTGAAATGTGCTTGCCAGTAATATATCTACAACGATGATATGCATTATAAACTAGTGATATTGAGATATTTACATATGGATATAGGCTGTTCGAAGGTTAAGAACGGAATGATATAATTTATTATATATTCAGAGTTTTAAATATATATGTAAAAACTTGTTGAAGACAATGCGTGTTATTTCGATTATATATTGAATGTGACTTCTTATTTGTGATTAATTGATTCAGTGATTTAATTGATTGACTTTCTATTAACAGAACAAACATTACCCAGTCGCCGGGTCCGTGGCCATATGTGTTACATTTTGGGAGAAGTCGATCAGACGTGGGTTCTGAGCCTGTGTTCCGTCGGTCACGTCCAATTGCAACCGTTTGATACTAGGCCCAAACCATTGGGAAGACACAAAAATATATCTCCTACAGTCGTCAATAGCTAATGCATTGGGATAGTTTGCTGAAATATAAGTACTTCTTAAGTAAGCCACGATGAATTCGATGCCTTTGGCAAAAGTGATATATAAAACTTTATATGATACAAGATAAAAATTACATGATTAGGTAACCAAGTGGATTCAAATAAGTAAAATCTTCATTGTGGACTTTCACATTTCCTGTACATTTCTACAGTCGTAAAGCGATTGTTTCGTTCGATGAATTAATTTTTATGTTTCTGTCGCTCTGAAATATTTCCTACGTAAGACCAATGCTATAATTATTTATTGATTAAATGATATGAATTTCATGAAATTATATTTGTAGGATTTATGTGATTTGCGTTTATGTTTCAAAGTAGAGTAATATTAAACAACTTGACTCGTGTATTTTTTTCAAATAGCTTTTTTTTGCACAAGTTCATATTTTGTACGAAAAATAATCATCTAAGTCTTGAACGAGACATACATATTAGAAACTAAAACTTATTATGGATTTCATTGTAAATGGCAGCTCCTATTCTATACTTATGTCCTTAGTGTGTTTTTCATATGTCTTGTTGAATAATTTCTTCATTGTTAGTCAATTTTAGATATAAAATCTTATTTCACCTAAAAACGTTTTGCACATTTTTTTTTCGTCTTTCTTTAAAAAATACTATACATGATAAAGTTTCATGTTAAAAGTCCTACAGGTACAATACCATCATAATGTTTCAATTGAAACTTATTTAAATTGGTTTGCTGTTGTCTTCGTAGAACAATATCTTTTGTTGTTCTTCAATTGGGCAAATGGAAAACAACCAAATTGTGACAGCATTGTATCAGAGCTATGTATTACACGCTCTAGACATAGCTCTTAACCGACCCCATTTGTTGATTTACATGCCTAGTGTCGTCGATGAAGCAGAAGACGTTTACTCTTCCGAAACACATGATCTTAATCTACATGCTCTTTTTCAGGCTTTTCCGTGCATATTTTCATATATTGCCCAAGTTTTAATTTGAAGTTGGGTTTGGATTATGATTTTCTTGTTTTCCCTTTTTTCTTTTTACTCAGCTTAAAAAAATAAGTGATCTCCCTGACACCGGGTATGTACAGACAATACATTTACACACCTGTATCCGCTTCCTCTTTAGAATTTGAGCCGTCCGTCTTGGTACTGTAGATATGTACCTGGTCTGTCGCACTGTAGAAGATCCGCCCTGTTTTTCTGTCATACTGTACGGAGCAAGGCTGTTGTTGGAGTATGGGAATATCCGTGTAAGTCCCTGAACTTTTATCTATTTTGTATATAACATTACCAGGTGGGCCGGACAACAGGAAAAAAGAATCTGTAAATCATACCATAATTATATAGTTATGTTCATGTTTATTATACTCTTAGGAGGGAAAACAAAAGAAACTATTAATTAATCTTTGCATACGTTGATTTGTGAAATGAAATTTTATTCTTTTTTAAATACAATATAGTCATATATTCAGCGCTATAGAATGTTATTTACAATTTCTGTATTAATAAACAAGGCTGACATTTTAAAAAGTTTTGATTAAATGACAATTTAATATAGTTCATAAAAGTAAGCTCTGATCCACTGTTTCTTAAGACGCGTTTTATTAAATTGTAAAAAAAAATCTTTGATAAAAAAATCTATGCTACTCATTACATAATGGTTAGGTATTTAAGATAATTAAGAAATTAATTCAACATAATTGGACAAACAAAATACATATAGGTGAACTGTTATTACTAACAAAGGTTGTACAATGTAATAAAAATGAATAGCAACTTTAAGTAGAAATTTGGAATGAATGAACCTGCATCAACTGTTTTGTCTTTCTCTGACTCGACATTGATGCTATGGATCTAAGAAGTTCAAATCTCGGCAGACTAAATTCCGAATTGGTCTAAATGTGTTACACATCCCTATAATGTAATTTCGTAATTTTCTATATTTGATTTTAAAAGTCAAGTGAATGTGTATATGCACACTAGTAATACATCCGTCTTTCACTTATGTGATAGCGTTTGGTTTCCAGATTGGATGTGAATTTGAGTTTCCAGATATTCCTATATCTTATCATATACCCACGTGAAGTTATACTCTGATATAATCCATATTACAACCATTGTTTAATACATGAAGTTAATTTTGTAAACACATTAATCGTATATAGCATAAACATATAGAGAGTGGCATTTTCAGTGTGAATTTGTAAAATAATGAAGAGACAAGAAACGTTAGGCCTATTTCTCTTACTTACATATCTGGCAACATTCATGTGATTTCCTACCTCGCTTTGAAGCAATTTTAACTATATGAATAGACAAGACGTAAATGTGTTCAATGTTGACTGTCCCGAGCCAAACACTCCAATGTTTATACAGCTCAACCTATAACCATGATCTCTGCACTCCCATTGTTAATAACAATGTACGTTATAAAGGTAGCTTATACTGTACAAATATTAAGGGCAAACATTGAAGCCTGACAAATTCCTTTGGAAAGTGTGATTACAAATCAGTAAATGAATTTAAAATGCACATTCTCGTGGTTATATTTAGAACTGCTCATATTAAACAAGAAAATGAATTGACAGAAAACATCCGTGACATTGTCTCTGAAAGGGATATGTGCCAAACAGTTTTTATACATCAGGCTTCGATGATTACAGCAGTAACCTCATTAGCTTATCGCTAATTTAGAGCGATATAGGTAAAATATATCACTGAGTTAAGAACACCGTTAAGTAAGCAACTGAATACATACCTTGTCCTAGCGACACGCTTATTAACGTGAAACACACCACTAAACTATCCAACATCATTAAAATGGCCACTTTTATCTGTTAAGCTCGTATTATCCAGTCTTCATGATAATTGATTGTGCCATCACAGCTGTCTACCTGTTTGTCACGTCTATGTGATTGAGTTATATTTATATACACACATACACGAACAGGTACCGGGTAGTTGGCAATAGTCTGTAGGTAGGGTATACACTTATAAACATACACTAATACACATCCCGTCATAGGTCAGTGCACAATGGCGAACATACAACGAATTAGCTATTATGTCTGGTTAGTATAACAGACTATGTTTTTCTTTGTTTCTTTTTCATGCTGACTTTGTTACCATATAATGTACACAGCCGTTATGAACCAGCTAGTTCTTTTGGTGTATGAAGTGGCATTAGAATTGTACTCTGAAATTTAGTGATATCAAGAACTTACATTATAACAACAAGGCAATACATTTGGCTCCGCATTTAAGAATTTGTATACATAAATCAAGTCATCTGTTGACCAACTTGAAGCAATGACATCGCATAGTTTCAGGAGAAAAATATTCTATTTACTTACTAGTTTCTTCAAATCCACTACCACATAGAAAAAAAAAGTAATGTTGCAAAAAAGGTAAGGGATGGTATGATATTCGTGAATTTCCGTTTTCCCATTGGCTATATACTTAATTGTTTTTTCGTTGATCATCTTCATGACATCCTAAACGGAGAGGAACATGTCATTGCCACAATGTTAACTTAGGGTTTAGGGATGGTTAAGCAAAATTATAAGGCATAGAGAAAACACATCATATGCCAACGTATTGAAAACTTGGGGAAAGTCATCAATCCTCAAGGTGCTAATTCTGACAGATTCATTTGTCTTGTTACTTAAAAGTGTGTCATTTTAAACATTTGCTTGGTCGATTTATTGATAAATAAGAATAGTTATTTTTTTTGTATTTATGATTTTCATCATTTTCGGTTCTTGAATTTAAGATCAGTACGTTGTATACATCAATGAGTCGGATTTCGTCGTATTCGGAAAGATAACTTATTGTTGTTAATCACCGAAGATCTATTGCAATGAAAGATATAAATTATATAGGAATTCAACGATATATGCTACATGACCTTATATTTCACATATATATATAATATATTGATATATAATTTATCAGTGTAAAGACGTATACAAACAAACACATCTATGAACAGGGATGAAAACATTTTTGAAAGAAAATTTACGTATTGTATTTTGCATTCGATATGAAGCCATCCTATTTACAAATGTCATTCTGTTTGGATTTTTTTTTCAAGTATTTAGAAACTAATTTGGATGGTTAGTGACCTTCTGTATACATACTTGTGCACTGAATATCCTCCCGGAACCAGACACCATCCGTTCAGATAGATGTAGCCGGGTTGTCTCCCGATACAAGAATAGCTCCTACATCACACGTGTATGATCTGGATGATCCTGTTCCCGACACGGATGTGCAGGCTATATATGGTGGGTCAGGACATGGAATTTCTGAAATCATTCATACCGAAAAGTGATAATAAATGCTTAATTAGTTACTCAAAGTAAACATGTCTATCTTAGGGCATTGGGAGGTATGAAATAAATGATCAATGTAACCCCCTATACAGCTGTTTTCTCCACATCGACTCGTTAGTGATTCCAATGGCCTCCTGGATTATTGAAGTCGATGACACTGACGGATAGGTAGAACTAAATGCCAAAAAATAGCTTGGTAGTTTTATCAACCTAAACATTCAATAACATTTTTTTTAAAGTCATGTACATATGTATATTGTAAACCGTGCTGTGCAGTAGGTGTATTACCAAAATATTGCATGCAGTAGTTGTATAACTTGAAACATCGGTAGGTCATGCGTAAGAGACGGACAATATTGTTAAGACAGGTGGCGAAGTAGGAATACAATTGTCTCTCGTCAAATGTGGACAAAAAGAGTGTGTAATTAAGGTCATATTATCGGTATACTGTATTGATTTAATAATGAAGTTAACTGTGCGAAGTTTTAAGCTAAATTTTCAGTCGGAATTCGTAAAACAATAAAACATGGAAATCTATGGCTTATAACTCTTCCACTCCTAATAAAAATCATATCATTTCCGACTTCATGTATTACACAAATAATGACAAGTGTTGTTGCCTGACAAATCCCTGTAGTATATGATTACAAGTCGAACGTAGGTTTCGATATGCATATTCTCGTGACTATATTTGATATTGGTCATAGGAAAACCTCAAATGAATTCAGAGATTCAATATGTGACCTTGTTTCTTTCAGGAAAATGTGTCAACATTTTTATAATATACATACAGTTTTGATTAAATGTTCGACAGTGACCTCAGTAGCTGATAGCTAACTGATATATAAAAGATGTAATTGATTACATACCCTTTCCTGGTGACACGCTAATTAACGTGAAATACACCACCATGGATCATTATCAAAGTAGCCATTTTCGTCGGAAACATATTACCCAGTCTTCCCGTCGGAGTTACGTCTTTATTAGTCACGTGTGCAGCGATTCCTTGCTGCATTCATGCAACACATAGCAGTAGTATGTGTAATGTTTACACTGATAATAGATGCCGTCATGGGTCAGTAGTCAGGAACAAGCCATGCCACGAAGGAGTGAGCAGTAGTCTTGTTTATATAACACACTTGTCAGAATATGCATATCTACTTAACGTTCTTCTGAAATGATTATATATAACATATATTTAAAATACAATATTCGTATAATTATGAAATTGATTGAATTATGAAGGTAGTGCACATTTCTCTTAATTTGTCATTTCTTTCAATCATTTCTGAATTTCATCAGTTGCCTCCAAAAAAAGCTGAAGATGAAAAAGTTTAAGGTCCGTAGCATCAGCGACGAGTCCAAGGAGGATGAAACAGCTGTAGGATGCAGTTTAAGTCATAATAAGACTCTAATTATCTTCCTCTAAATATATTTAGAAGGTGTTTTTCTTTTATGTGTTTTTTTAAAAATAATTTCTGTGTTGAGTTAGGATTGAGTTAATTTGTTTTCATTTAAAATAGAAGCCGTGCATTTATATAAATATGAAACCTTTGACTTAAAGACTTATTGGCATGTCTCAAAGGTTTTTTTTATGTTTTTCATTATAGCCCTTTAAGCAAAGATAAGTTATACATAGCTGTTTGCAACATATAAGTATATTCAACAGACATTTCTCTCGGTCCAGTTCTATAAATATATAATATTATTTGTTAATAGTGTACCTACAGCTGTACCTTGATGACTGACTGCCGCCCTGTCTATCAAACTTTTAAAAATAAAACAGCTCTTGTTCTGTGTAATATCCATTATTAGTTTCATAAAACAGTTCGATAAAATTAGGTAAACAAGGATTGGATATCAATGAAGCAGATATCTTTCTAGTTTTATTGTGAAGGACATTTATTTTGATATTTAGAAAAAAAAAGTTTCCAATTGCGAGCAAAGGAAACATATATCTATCCAGTTAGATATAGAAATATGACAGCCGTTGTAAGTTGTTCATTTAAAGTTCTGAGAGCCATTAAGTGAGGTTTTTATTATTATTTTTTTTTTTCATTTTTAATTATCTATCTTATTATTTAAAGATATTTTTAATCAAAGACAAGTAGATTTTAACAACATGGCTACCACTGGAATTGACAGGTATTAAAACCTATGGTACTTGAATGTTAAAATGAGTTCTTTCTTTAACCGGGGTACCTTATCACTACTAGTATATTGTATCTATTACACCTGATCACACCTGGACAACAAGAGAATACAAATATGTCGACTGAATTTTATCCGTACTCAAAATCAGTTAAACTTGGGCAAATTAAGAAAGACTTACAAGGAGACACACGGAAATATAGAGAGATTTTAACTAGGTGTTCTGAATGGTTGGCGTCTCCTGCTAAATCGATTATACCCGTCATTGAAATCTGATAATTACAAAAGGGCGTCAACTTCTCAAATGAAATAGGTTTGGGGTTGTGAAATCACCAGTCATTCAAATGAGCTCGAAATACATTCACACGACAGATTTTTACATAATATACCTATGTGCTATTTTTGATATATGAACTCTCGATATGTAACGTATATGTCATAAGAGGACGATGGCATGACGCTACACACTCGTGAATCACAGAATAAAGGGACAAAATTAATAGCACTTAGTAATACTTCCATTCCAGTTCTTTTCTCTCAGTGGTATACAGGTTATTTTGCCAGTTAGTGTTTCCATCCTAGTCTTCCATTCCCTATTTTATACGATGGGTACTTTTTGTATCTGTCTAATGAAGATTGTACTCTTTCCTATGTTTTCCGAATAGGGATTCCATGCGTTTCAACTATCACAAGAACTAGTTCAACAGTCTATATGTATCAGTAATTCGAGTTGTCTCCCTTGCAACAATGATCGTATTTTATAGATCGACACATACAGACAAGCAATACTTTGAAAACAGATGATGATCATTTCGATTTTTATGACTATCAAGGTTGGACTCACGCAGGGGATCACAAGTTCGGCCGAAAGTACACATGACTGCTATATTACCAGGAGGATGGTCGGATGGCTCAGTAGTAACCTAATCAACTTTCACCTAGTCGACCACGGTTCAAATCGGACATGAAAAAGTTTGACGGCACTTTCCTGATCTCTCGGATTTCTCTAAGGTCTCCTCGCACAGTTAGGCCCCTCGCTCGTTTCCGTCCGGACCAACAATAGTGGTTAATATAAGCTTGTAGATAAACAGTAGTTAAGTTAATTTATGTTAATTTCTATATAGATTTCTGTTAATTTATCGTTTATTACATTTTAAAATGGGAATTACTTGATATAATTCAAAATAAGAATTTCTATATATTCATAAAATTGCCACTTGCATATCAATTAGTGGCATTGCACCCCAACTAATATCGTAATCAAAACACATGTGGATGCAGAAGGGGCTATTTTATCGTCAGAGTAACTCTTTGATTGTGATAGAGGC